TATGAATAATATGAAATAGACGTAATTGTTACTGCGTCGCTGCGCAATATGTGGCGCAGTCATTCCGCAGAAATATAGAATTTAAATAAAAATAGAAATGATGTCATTTTCACGTGACTTCCGCAGGATTTTGGTTTGGTTGGATCGGCAACACGGGACCTCTCGTTTTACTATCTCACAATATATATTACATTTGATGTGGTTATTATTATAATTATAAATACACAATATTAATTTATTATTTTTATTAAATAGCTATTATTGAATTTCTACACAATATTAAAATTATCTATCAGGATAATATACTATATGTTAAATCATGAAATCGTCATCCTTATATTGCTTAATCCTACAGTTTAGAAGTTATATGACCAGTGAATAAAGCTCTCGCCATGTTTTTCTTTTTCTTTAATATTAAAAGATTGTTTTTAACGAAAGGATCTGCATAAAATTACAAAATTCCTGACTGTATTAGAAATAAATAATTAAAAAAGTATATGATCTACGTAGTACATATTCTAAAAATAAATTCAACCATGAATAAACAACAAATTAAGCAAGCAATTCTTGATTTGAGTCGAATTTTTGTCAAAAGCTCATTGCTTATTCATGGCAGTTTACGGTATTTAATATCCTGGCAGAATTTTTGGCCGCTGGTAATTCTGGCAACCGGTTACGAGCCGAAAAATGAGGTGTTAGTATGAATTGCAATTATTTTATGTGATTGGTTGATCAATAATATCTGTAACAGTAACAACTCACAAATGATTATCGATTGATAATAAATAGACTAACTGTATTTTATTTTTTTAGATTATATAATTACACAGATTGATAGATGAAAAAAAAATAACATTTTACACTAAAGTATTTTGTTCATAAGAGAGTATTTATATTCGTTTTTAAAAAATTAACCAATCAACAGATTTTTATTTTATCTATGCTCTTTTAGTACGTATACACCACAATTTTTTTAAAACCACTTCGTGTTGAAAATGAAAACGAACTTTTTTGCAGAATGTTTGGATTGGACGCTTATGGACTTTTTGAACTTTCGTCGGAAAGAAGAGAATTGGACGGCGGATAAAGTGAAGGAGCACAACACGTATATTAAGACCCTTGGCATGCTTACAAGCAGTGGCTCAAGCGAACATCAATCTAAAGCATTTTCTGCTCTAAAAGCATTTACAGTTAAGTTAATAAAATTTATGTAGGGTAAGAGGTGGGCCTTGGGTATGCAAGCACCTCCAAGTTGACTATACGTGTTATACTAGCATCACAATGCTTGACAATTTGAACGAAGATACCACTGTTCTAGGTTAGGTCATTGATGGACTATCATGTTCGATGTTGGCCATCTTTTGCCTGCAAGTATTCATTATTGCGGGCGAAGATGGGCTTGGAAGCAGATATCCCAGGTTGACTATCACGTTATACCACATCACAACGCTTGACAATCTGAACAGTGATATAACTGTTCTAGGTCAAGTTGTTGATGACTATCATGTTCGATGTTGGCCACCACATCACAACGCTCGACAATCGTGATGAACTATTTGTACTCGATATGTTTACTGTTCATGTGTTAATTTTTGCACATTTTATTATGTCAGGATGAAGCCAGCGGAGAAAATGTCTTCTATTTTTGGCATACCATCGCCCAAGAAAAGAAAGAGGTAAATATCGTATTTTCATTGATTCTCATCAGGTTTATATCTTTTGTTAAACATTTTTTCTTCCTTTCCCAAGTTAAAGCTAATGACCCTTGAGAACAAAAAGATGATCTTTCAAAAGGAAAAAGATATGTTGATTGAACGCACGGCACTTCAACATGTATGCCCATCTGTTAAGCATGGCGTTGTGCCTTTCTTTTCTTATGATTTTCTAATTAATGCTACACTTTACTAGGTCAAACTGTTGTGTACCACAGCACAGGAAGTTGGATCCCAATCGAAAATGGTACAAGAAGAAATTACCGAGATCATACGTGGGCGGAGGCCTAATACCCAATACTATACACCAGAACGACATATTACACCGGAAGATGATGAGGAACAAGAAAATTCATTCTACAACACTTTCCCAATACATATTTATAATCAATCAGAACCGGATCCTTTTGTAGCTGGCTTACAAGGAACTAAGCATGGCCGTGACATAGAAGAGGAGGATGACGAATTTAATGCTGATATAACAATTATCAGTGGCAAAAGCACAGATTGGATCGTTAATGGGATCCATATAAGAGAAAGGCTGACACAATACCAGCTTGATAAAAATCCATCAAAAACGAAACCAGAGTATTATGATGTTATTTTCTTCAATTCTAATGACAAGGATGGTTTCTTAGGGACATTAGATAAAAGTATCATTGTACAGATGCGTAACGATATAAGGAAGAAAGAAGAAAAAACAAAAGATAATATGGAGCAAGAGATTAAATTATTTCTTGATAGTATTATTGATCGTGATATAAAAAAGACTAAGGAGAAACTTAATCGACAGAAAGAAGAAACTATTTCTTCATTTGAAAAGAGCTTCGCGTTGCATTTTGTGAGTCGTATGTGAGTATATTTATTTGATCTTCATTGGAGGAGTCTGATGATGCTAATGAGACCAACCTTATATAGGATAGAATTAATGGAAGATGTGAATTTGTTTCTTGATCCTATGTCTGAGGGAACATATATCGTTAATGTTTTAGCACCCATTCTCGGTTACTTCTTCATTAAAAATAAAAAAGATTGGCTTGCATCATACGGAGAAACTTGCCTCAAGGCGAGTGCAAAAGATGGTAATTCTCAAAAAACAGATGACGAACGCCGATCTAGTGGAAAGAAAATAGATACTATTATTTCCATGAGAGAAGAAGATAAAGAATTTTCTGTAACTGAAGTCAGTGGACCTCCGATGAAAAATGATTGGGCACACTTTAAGGGTGATCGGATGAAGATCACGAAGATGTTAAAAACTTTAATGAATCAATTTGCAGAGCTTAGTCCGAGTTCTGACATTACTCTGGTCAGGTTATATGGATTACAGTCATATTGTAAGTTCTAAATATTCTTCGCCTATAATTGTTGTTATCATGTCTTACTAATTCTGTGTTTTAACAGTAAATGAGTTAACCATTTACGAATTTCAACTCAAATATACCGAGATTTATACTATGGAAGCAACATTAACATTTTCCTTACCTAAGACATGGACAGACATGGCAAAGGCCCATGAAACTGTAATGGGCTTGTTGAAGTATGAGGTTGGTATAGATAGATTTCAGAAGAAACAAAATACGGAAGACTCAAATTAACATTTTAGTTTCTCGTGAATTAGTGCCTATTATCTGAAAGCTCAAAAACTATACGAGACTTTCTATGGAATAAAGATAGTAGGGTTGAAGCTATTAAAATGACAACACGGATGATTCACACCCCTGAAAGTAAGTCGAAGAAAACTAAAAAAAACACGAATCAATTAAGGTCTTTTTAAATAAATGAATATTTCATGACTTTTGATTCTATAAATGAAACTTAAAACGGTTAATGGCGCAGAAGTATATATATAGTTTAATAAAGTAGCATTTATATTAGACATTTTTATTTGTTTTATCATTGCTTATAATGCCTAAAATAATAAGTTTTCATTTGAAAAATATAAAGATTTGCCTACATCAGGATTTGAATTTTTAACTGTGTATACTTGTATGCAGAGTGATTCCAATTTACTATACATAGTGTGAATTTTTCTTAGCAAGTGATCGCTGTGAAGATTCTTCGTGCACTTGTAATTCGTCCATTTATAAGTATTGCAAAAGGTCTAAATACTCACACCGGGGATTTAAGGGGAGGCGTTTACTTCGTCGACACCCATTTCATCGACACCCATTCAGTGAGTAACAATAAACATCACCAGTTATATATACTGTAGTTTTAATAACTTTGGTATTTTTCATATATAAATTTGGTTACAATTCATATTTATATATATGTTGTCTTTCACAAATCGGCTTTTTATATTTTTATAATAAACTATTTTATTTTATTAATTAAAAATTAATGAAATTTTGTGTTAATAAGATCATTTAAAAATGCAATAAAAAATTCTGTTCCACGAAAACACTTAGTCTCAATTTTGGATCCAATATATAAAAAAAAATTCTAATCCATAAGTTTTAAAGTTAAGGTCATTAGCTATCAAAATTATGGAGTACTTTTTTAAAAATTTTTTTTGAGCAATCTATACCCTTTTAAAGAAAGGCAACATTTGTTCCTATTATAGAGCTTCTGCACTGTATTATTTATGAATAAATTGTTTTCTAAATACAAGATTTTCATTATAAACCAAAGGCTTTTCAACAATAAATTTCTGGTTGCTAATGTTATTATTCAAATTGAAATTCTCTTCAATAGAAAAGGTTGTTTTTTTACAATAAGTTGAACGAAATAAAGAAAATTCCAAAAACAAGGCGCTAAGTGGATTTTGCGAAAATTGTTTCAACACTTGGACTATAGTGTTCACCGAAACTATGTCAAGCTACAGAAACACTTCCGGTAAAATTTTCGGTTTCGGTCCAAAAACCGAAAATCAAAATCTCAACCAAAACCTAAACCGAAAACGTACTGAGAAATAGGCTAAAAAAAAAGAGGTTTGGATTAACTAGGATTTATTATAAAATTTGATAATGATTTTTTGATAATATTTTTTATAGTTGATTGACAAAAGAATTAGTGATTTTTAATGAAATGTATCCATAGTTTGACTTTCAATTTAGGTTTTGAATTTTGGTAATGATGATGCTTGGTCTCTGTAGGAGCGTGTGATGATAATATGGGAAATGATAAAGTTATATATAATATCTTTTATGATATTGAAAATTTCTGTTCTTCTAGCTTTAATTCATGAAAGGGCTTTACAACACCAGGATCAGAAGGTTCAAAATGTCAAAATTTTTTAGTACCATCTAACTGCTTAAAGTATGTTTCTAAGATAGATACAATAGCAAAATAACAAAATCCATCTTATAATAGTTTTATTCAATACGACCAGCAGTACTGGAACATGATCCAACACAGCTGTTGTCCTTTGATAAAGTTTAATTTAATTCATAATCTTTTTCTCAAATAAATATCATTTTGTAGATTCAATTCAGAGATAAAATTGAGCAAAATTTTATGCTTTTGTCATGGTAAAAATTTGTTAATAAAATTGATTATAGATCAAAAAAATTCTGAATTAACTAAAGCTGAGCGAGGAAAATTTTTGGACCTTAGATTAGGTAGTAATAGTGGTCTTATAGGATCGTAGAGAAATTCAAACTTCCAAAAACTACTATGAAAATTCTGAAATCCTAAAAAGTGCACCAAAAAGTAGTTACCCAAACCCAAATAAAATAATATAAATGTGTAAATTATTATTTTGATTAATAAATAAAAAAAGAATTTTTCTAATGCATTGATGTTTTTTATTTAAAATATCCTCGCCATGATATATCAATACATCAACAAAGAGAGATAATCAGTTGATATGGTGTTTAGACAAAGAAGTTGAACAGTGAGACAAGGAAATCTGTTATTTGGAGTGATGAATTTCGCCTCAAAATTTTTAAAAGTAATGGTCCAACTTGTGTTTGGTAAAAAAGTGGGGAGCATTACAAAATCGAGAACATCAGGTCATCTGTTAAACATGGTGCTGCGAGTAAAGCTCTGAACGAGCCGAGTTTATACTTAACTCGAGCCAACTTGAAATTTAGTATTATTTTTTTTTTATAAAATCACGATTTTGCAGACCACTGAAAATAATATTGAATTTAGAACATTTAAATCATCATCAATAATTTTGACAGACTAGAAAATTTCAAATGAGAACAATCAAGATTCCAATATTAAGCTAATTTAGCATTTAAGATTCATTATACCAAAATTACTAATTCAACGAATGTTATATTGATGATTAATATGTTGTTAAATTTCGTTGTAATGCGAATTGTTTATGATTCGTTGGAACGAGTTTGTTTGACTGTATAAATTTTCTCAGATATTTGTGGAGAATTAAAAAATCTTTATCCACATAATACAAATTCACGTTCGTAATATAACTCAATCCTTATATTACTCGTTTGTTCGTTTATTCAAATTATTCAAATATTCAATTCGAAGCAAATCCTAAAATCTAACGCACTTTTTAAAAAACATCATTGGTTACTGTAACAAGCATGTGAGAACCAAATAATAATTCGTTCTTTCAATTTCAGGAAATGCAGCTTGACAACTTCTTGTTTATTAAGTCTGTTGTTTCTAAAGCAATTATCCCTTGTTTTAAAGACTTTAGAAATTGTTGTTTGAATAGCATCATACTTGGCTGCTAACTCTTCTTGTATTGGTTTTGGCTAAAAGCTCTAAAAATAATTAAAATTTTAAGGGTTCCACAACACAATTATATAATATAAAGCATTATTGATTTTAAGTACAAGTATTGGGCGATCATGAATTTTATCGACAACTACCAACATTATCTAAAAGAAAGATTAACCATTAAATGTTATTTGAGAAAATTCCAGATAGAAATTTTGTTCCTTAAACAATTTAAATTATTATTATATAATCAACCTAACGTAATATATAAAGAAATGGGTCCTCTTGAACAAATGCAATTTGCAATTTTAAAAGAAGATGAAGTTTTCACACCAAATTATATATTCAATTTTTATCTTTGCTTTATTTGTTTCCTATAATCCAACGCAATGCCACCACACGTACAAGCATTCTCCAAAACAACTTATAAACAGCCATTTATTTTACCTTGATCCATCACCGACTGCCTTTTCTCTTGATGTTAAACCCGTGAAATATCCTGATAACTGTAAATTAATACAATTACATTTGAACACTAGACATGGTAATTATTATTTCGTATACAAACATGTACAAATTTGACCGCATTAAATAATCTTTTTTTAAAATAATTATTAGGAGCGAGATATCCAGATCCAAATGATATTAATGCTTACGAAAAATTGGAAAAAATATTTGCTAAAGTTCCTGTTGCAAAAGGATGGGTAATAAACATTATTTGTCATATTCAGTAAAATTTATCATAACTGAAAAAACATCTTTCTTTTATATATATATATATAGTATAAAAATGTTTTCCCGATGAGTAAAAATTTTCAATTGAACAGACAAGGAGAAATCGAACCATTCTTTGATGGTAAGCAGTCTCTTAAAAGATACTCAGAATTTTGGAGAGGAGTTAAATACGATCCCGAAGTTGTAAAATTTCAAAGTACCGGTACTTCAAGGTACAATTTCACGTTTAAAATTCCTACTTTTTTTTATTTTAATAAAAAACACACACACATATAAAATACAATATTGTTTAAAGAGCTGGTGCATCGGCAATGGCCTTTTCCGAAGGATTATTTAATGGAAAAGGCTCTTTAGACACTTGTAAGAGTCAACCTGTATACATTTCGTCAGTACCAGAGGTATAAAAATTTTACTACGCCATTTATAAACCATTTTGTTAACACACACATTAATATATTAATATTATATTGTATAGGCGCAAGATGAGATTTTAGCACCATTCAAGTCCTGCCGACGGTGGAATGAGACTGTTTCTAATAACAATCTATTACTCAATGAACAACTTTATTCCTATGGCAACAAGACTCTAGCGCCAATTGCAAAACGTATTTCTAACGAACACGGTCTTAGTCCGCCTCTTGATCCACATTTATTACCATATATGTTTACTAATTGCCAGTATTGGGTCGTTCATTTTAATCGAACTGACACATGGTGTTCATTACTAAGCCATAAAGAACTTCTATTATTACGATATTATTGGGATATTGATGGATATTATACATTACAATATGGACATCCTTTTAATAGGCGAATGGCCTGTCGCTACATTACTCAACTTGTAAATGGAGTTGATGATTATATAAGTGGGAAGTCTCTTATGATAGCTGATTTGAAGAATTCTCATGGATTTACTTTACTTTTAACATTTACTTTACTGGTATGTGAAAATTTTCATTTTTATTTCATCTTCTGTTCTTTGATGATAACATATATATTGTCATTTGATCACAGGGAGTATTTAAAGAAAAATACCCACTCACGGCAGATTTAACCTTTGAACAAATTAAAAGAATCAGGCATACAGAATATTCAGGTATACCCTGGACTTCTACACTTTATTGGGAAGTATATTCTTGTTCAGGTGATCATAATAATAAGGATAATGTAAAGATACGAGCAGTATTTAACTTTAAACCGTTTGTGATTCCGGGTTGTGGAAATG